GGAAGCCCAAGGGTGTGGCCCTGGAATTGGTTTCTGGTGAGGGTCTCATGGTGGATGGCAGCACTGGGGGGACTGTGTGAGAGAGTGGGAGGTCACATGGAGAGAGAGAGAGAGAGAGAGAGAACAAGCAAGAGAGTTTGCTCTTGAGGTTGCTCCTTCCGTCCCTTGAGACCTCATTCAGTCTCACCTGGAGAGAGTAACCCAGTCGCTGATGAAGGTGGATCCTCCACGACCCCAAGTGTCCCTTAAAGGCCCTCCCAGACTCTTCCAGCTCAACACCGTTGAACTGGGGCCAGAAGCTTCCACAGACGTTTTTGGCAGGGGACGAGCCACACCCAAACCACACCACACCTAAACCGCGGCGGTGGCCGAGCAGACGAGGCCACCAGGAGCCGGGGTCAGGGAGCCCTCGGAGCCAGCTCCACAGCAGCACATGTCCCACAGGGGTGGGAGGATACCCTCCTGCCGTGCTCTTCCCAGGAGACCCAGGCCATCCGACGGGGCTCAGGGCGGGAAGGATTCCCTTCAATGAAAACCAGACTTCACTAAGACGGCTCGTCTCCGGTTCAGAAGTGCTCACGTTTCCCCAGCTCCAGCCCCAACATCTGGGGGCTACCCAAGAGGTCCACCTGGGGTGTGGCTCTTTTGGTGCCTAGACACTCGTGAGGTCCCCTGGCTGGACAGCGGCCCATCTTCATTCCTTGGACAGCTGTTCTTTTGACCCAGGCCTGTGCGTCTCACCTCTCCACTCCATCGACTTCAGTGTCTGCTGTGGAGAGTGCAGGACCAGCAAGCACTGGGGTGAACAGAGAGGCCAGCATTAAGGAACAGATGTTGTCTGTAGCCACAGCCACCATTTCTTTATCTTTTCCCCGGGGTGAACACTTTTGGAATCATCCCTGCGATGCACACATCCTCCTTCAGTGCTAATGGACAAGGAAACGGAGGCACAGAGAAGCTCATGGCTCACCTGAGCTCTGTCTCACTCTGAGTTATGGAGGGATTTTCATTCTGATTCAGCGCATCACCAGGCGTCACGGGCCGAGAGTTGGAAAAGGAGCACGTCCCTTCCCTTCTGAATGGTCCTTTGAAATGGGTCCTGGAACTGAGAGCAGAACTCAAACCTCCACCGTGGAATTCGGAACTTTGATCATGCAGTTGATACCTCAAGGTGCCCGCCCTGAGGCTCGATTCTGCAGCAACCCAGACAGCACATGGGGTACGTCACCAGGAGCCCCAAGTGCACTGAGATGACCTGTGGCGTTCCCAGTATTTTTAGAAAGAAGTGAAAGGCAAAGAGGAGGGTGACCCAAGGACTGAACCTGCGACCTTGTCCATGGAGACGAGTGCTCTACTACTGAGCTACACCTTCAGCACAGGGATTTTTATCTCAATGAAGAGCCCAGAGCCTCTGGGGGGTCACTGATGGCTACGAGGAGATGTTCATGCTCAGGATACCCTTGATGTAATAACCTACGTTTGTTTGAGTCAGTTCATTTCAACAAGAATTGAAATGGAAAGGTGTGTTGGTTTTCTTTGTTTTGTGACTATAGCTAAATACCTGGGGCAGGGTAGCTTTATAAAGAAAAATAGTTTATTTATCTCACAATTTGGATGTTGAGAGTCCACCCAGCATGATGTAGCTCTGCTGAGGGCCCCCTTGGGCTGTATCATCTCATGGCAGATGGCCATGGCAGGAATGTGTGCAAGAGCTAGAGATCACATTGGGAAACAGGGAAGCACTGGGAAAGTTGCTGGGGTTTCAAAATCTCTTCCAAGAGCATTATCCCCAGTTACCTAAAGACCTCCCACTAGGCCCCGCCTCTTAAAGGTCCCTCCTCTCAATATCAACCTACTGAGAACCAAACTCCCAACACATGAACCGTGGAGGAAAATCCACATTCAAACAAAAAACAAACAAATTGCATAATTGCCACTTAAAAAGACAACGCATTCGCCAGAGTCGACAATGTTTCGCAATTGTATTTGGATCAGTGTGGGTTTGGAGGAGTTGGACGGTTCAGAGGCAAGTGCAGGGGCAGTCCAGGTCATCTGTCCCCTTTTCCTGCGAGTCTAGATTACAGCACCCCTGTGTTTGGCTCCCAGGACACGAGGACATCCCCAGGCTTGCTCTGCACCCCTGATAGACACTCACAGGGTGGATGAGCCACAGCGGGTGCCCTGGGAGCAGAAGCTGGTTCTGATGCAAAGATTCGGTGGAGCATGGACAAAGCAGCATCTTAACTTTGGTTCATGGTGACTAACGTGAGACGCTGGTGCACCTTTTCTACTTCGTGCTAGAGATTTATAGGGTGAAATAAGTTAGAAGATGGTTGGAGAGGACAGGCAGGTATCAAAAACAGAAGCAGCGCAGAAGAGGCCCTGGGTTCGATCCTCAGCATCACATAAAAATAAATAAATAAAATATACTGTTTCCAACCACTTCCAAAAAATAAAAAAATGTTAAAAACAAACAAACAGATAAACAAAAACCAGAAGCAGCATCGACATCCACCATAATGGAAATCAACGAGGAATTGACACTCCCACTGTCACAGCCGTCCTTCTGTCCTGGCCTGGGTAACAAGGCAGGCAGAGCAACATGGTGGCTGCTTAGTGGCATCAGGAGGAAACGCCGACCAAGCTTGCCCCACGTCTGGAGTTCTGTTCAGTCAGATCCCCTGGTTGTTTGATCAACACCGTGGACTTCTGTTTCCGTGTCGTTTGGAGATGTTTAACCGTGACGTGTGGCAGGACTGTACGCCACATGGCAGCAGATGAATCCGTACCTCCCAAAGGAAGACTCGGAGAAGACGTGTCGTGCCAACCCTTTGTTAACCCACAGAAGACAAAGCCACGCTTTTATTTTATGTCATTTCTTGGAGGTGACCATACCTCCGATTACACCTGGTTTTAGGTAGACATGTTAACAAAATGCCAGCATAAAATGAATGAGGTTGTCCACATGGAAACCAGCTGCCGTCCATTGAGAATCACTCTCGGGCCATGAGCGTGGAAGGTACTGGTGTAGGGAGCCAGGCTACTGATGCATGTGGAAACACAACCTTGCACCGACAGGGGGGAGCTCCGCTGTGAAGCCGCCCAGGGGCTCACCACTCCCCTGGCCACTCCAGATCTCGAACAAAGAGAGCCAGATGGAGGACCAAGGCGTCCACCTGCCTCAGCGGCAGGGGAAGGGGGCCAAGAAATTCAGCAAGAGGAGAAAAGCAGCTGAGAGGGTCTTGAGAGAGAGTCTAGGACTCAGATGACCAGAGAAAAGGTTCTCAGGGAAAAAGAGTGGGTGTGGGGGGTGACAAATGCTGAGTGTTTGGGGACACAGCTAGCTGCCCAGGGAACCCAGAGGTGACTAAAGGGGAAGCTCTGTGAGAAGCAGAGGAAGTAAAGGAGACCCCAGTGGACACTCTGGACACCTGAGGCTCAGGTGAGCTTTGCTGGTTGGTCATACGTCGATGTGCCTCCGCACCCTGAGGGCTCAGAGACTGTATCCAAGACCTTTCCAAATGTTACCCTCTGCGCCTGTTCATGTGGCTGGTTCTGAATCATGTCCCTTTCTATAAAGCTCTGACAGTAAGTGTGGGGCTTCCTATACCCTGTGAATTATTCTAGTAAGTGATTGACCTGGAGAGGGTCACGGGGACTCTTGGATTTGCAGTCACATGGTCAGAAGGGCAGGTGGCCTGGGGATCTCTGAGCTTGTAGCTGGTAGTCTGAGTGACAGGAACCTACCTGTGGACTTGACCTAACTCTGCATGGCTAATGCCACGGTTGCACTGTAGGACGGTGAAACCTGGGCGCCTGTTTGTGCCTGGTGTCCAGTCCCGCGTGACAGGTGCCTACCAGCATACCTGAGAATAAGCAGCGAATTAACAAGTCAAAGTGGCATCCTGCAGGGTTCTGGCCCACGGGAGGGTAGAGGCTTCTGTTCACCGTGAGGCCTCAAGGTCTGAGCACTTCTTGCTCCCAGAGGATCATGGGAGCTGAGCCAGGTGGGGTTTGGGGCCCAACAACCTCCCTCCTTGCTGTTGAGTCTCAGGATGGCGTTTCTTGTCTTTTTCTTTTTCCTGCAGCCTGCACTGGTGTGTCACTTCCCGACAGAGTCGCCCTAGAGAGCTCTTGGTATGTCTTTGTCATCGCTCAAAGTCCTGCAAAGAACAGAGTGTCCCGGCCCATCTCCACGCCTGGCTTCTTGTTCTGTCCCTTTCTGCTCCCAGCCAGCCCGGGGCGCAAGCCGACTGTTCAGAAGAGGGATGATTAGCTACCAGCGTTGCTTCTGAAACTGCCTCTCCGAACGTCCTCGAACGTCCTCCCTCCTCCGCTGTTTATTGTTTGCCCACTATCAAATGTTCCCCCAGCTGTGGCAGCCCAAGTTCAAAGCCGGCCCCTGGCAACAGAGCGTGTCCCTGGAGGGTTTTCCGCAGAGCTGATAAATGCCCACGTGTGGCTCTTGCCAGCAGCTGCCCCCTCTGTTGGGTTCTTCAAGGCAAATCAGAATCTGCCCGAGAGAAATCATAGATCTCAGCATTGCACCGTGCTCTCAGCCTTGGGCCGCGCAGACTTGCTCCTGCAAAGCCAGGAGAGCCAGAGTGGTGTCCCCGTGGGCCCTGCTGAGGGTCTTGTGTAGTCTACCCCGGGCAAGGCAGAGGCCTGCAGGGTGGTGAGCAGCCTGGCCCTGACCTCACGGCAAGCAGCCTCCATCTCCTGTGTGTTACCCGATCCCACAAACTGACAAGCAGTAAAGAAGGACTCCCGCGCGGGAAGCTGGGGGCCGGGTAGAGTCTGTCAGAATGGAATTTTTCGGGGTCAGACGCAGCTCACTGAAGACTGCAATTAGTGGGCAGACAGAAAAGCCTCGTCAGCTGGGGCCTGGCTTGTTTTGCATCTGCTGAGCGGTGCTCATCGCCTCATGGAACAACACAGACGCGGGGGGGGGGGGGGACTCGGGGCCACACACCTGATACGCACCCTGCGGGGACCGCGATGGCCAGACCCTCTGTGGAGATGGGGAGGGAGGTCGGAGGGAATCGCCTGGCCCAGATCAAGCTCCTGTCTGGCCGCAGAGGCAGCTGCCCCGGGTGGCCGTCCCGTGGGGTGGCCTCCACCAGCCCTGGTCCCTGAGACACTGCGCTGCAATTAGTCATGACAGCTTCCCCCGGAAGCGGGGGAGGGGGAAATTCCGACTTATTGTCAGCGGTCATTAGTGGAGAAAGTGCTCAGCCATAATTCCAAGAGGGGCCACCTTGAAGACACTGGCTATGTTCCTCCCCCCTCTAAATTCCGGATGTGAATTGAAAGCACAGAAGCAATTGCAGGACGGGCCCGAGGCCAAACTCCCTTTGCTGGGTGGAATCATAACAAGCAGATTTTCTTGGTGTAGAAGTGGACTTGGAAGAGAAATCGAGAACAGGTCGACAGGCATGGTAGCTGCAGCGTTGACCATGTGAGGACAGAGGGTCCTGGTGGCCCGTCACTGGGATAGGTGACATCCTCCAAGGTACTCACTGTGTATTTCATCCTCCGTGGAGGGGGGGGGGCAGGGCTGTGCTCGCTCACTTTGGACCCAGGCAGGCATTTGCTGCTACCTCATTCAAGAGAAGATGGCAGAGGTGACCACCTGTGCCTTTCATAACTAGATCCTGAATGTCCTTCCAGTTTCTGCTTGGTCTCACAGCTCTTTTGCTCTTACAACAGTTGTTCTTGAAACCCAGCTGCCATCTTGTGAGGAAGCCCAGGCCACAAGAAGAGGCCACGTGGAGGTGTCTCAGCCCCAATTCAACCATCAGCATAGACCTCCAGACCTGAGGGACAGGCCTTCAGAGTGCCCACAGAGCAAAGCAAGCCCTCTGCTGCTCCCTGGCTTGACCTCCTGGCCCAAAGGAACCTCGAGCAACATAAAGGACGATCGTTGTGTGAGCATCCGAGTGTGGGTAACGTGTTGCACCGAAGGGACTCTGACTCAGGCCTCTTATCTAGTGGGTGCCCGCTGACCACATGCTTGAGGGTGACTTCCTTTTGTAGGTTGTTAAAGGATAATATCCAGAGCCCAGTGCAGGGCAGGGATTCAGGGTTGCTTTATTTGGCTCCATGGATAGTTCTCCAAAGTCAGGCAGCAGTCAGGTCTGTCTCTGGGGAAATAATAAAAGGAAAAGCAAACAGTAGGGGTGGGCAATCTCCGAGGAAAGAGCACAGATACACGAGTCCGGCACAGAGAGGGGACCAGCGCAAAACTCCTCCAGTGTGACTTCTGTTCTTCTAGATCCTGAGTATTTCTCGGCTTCGTGCCGGGACAAAGGGACAGGACTCCTCATTGCAATTCCCAGGTATTTCTTTCTTTTTTTCCTCCAGGATCAAAATGGAAACTGCTTCAGCTTTCCCAGGCAGGGTCTTGCTGCCCTCCTGTAGTACATGCTTCAGCACGTACTGATTTCCTGGAATGTGACCTGGAAGCGAGAAGAAGCATTCAAGGCATCCAACGCCCGGGCACCGACTGCCCCCCGAGCTTGACATTTTTCTCAGCTGTACCTCTACGTTGTCACGGGCTTGGATGTGGTGAGTGCTCCTAGAGATGACGACACTTCCTTCCCCATCCAGCCCCGATGGAGTGACACCTAGAACAGGGATCATGGATACATTACCACTCGGAAATGGGCTGAGAGTCTGACTTACAAAACTCAGATCATCAGCCGGGCATTAGGCTAGGACAGCAGGAGTCTGGATGCTGAGTCCCGCGTGTGGCACCATCCCCGGGTGATCTGGGATTCGGCCACATCTGGCAGCCCTGGACAGGTGAGGGGCTCCCTGCTTTCAGGAGCTAGAGACACAGTTAGACTCTGTGGGGGACCTCTGTTTTGTTGAGTTGTAGCTGAGCTGTCCCAACAGAGGATCTGGAGCCTGGGCTGCCCCACGGGAGTCCCCAAGCTCCTCTCTGGCCCTGGGCCCCCTCTATGAGGTTGCTCAGTGAAGACTGGAGCCCAGGGTTGCTCTTGAGCCGATGGCATGGTGGTGAACTCCAAGCAGCCTCCCTGTCCATCTTCCAGAGCAGGGACTGGAGTCTGTCCTGGGGGCTGACGCTCCTTTTCTGGGAGGCACCTCCAGGAGCTGCACTGTCCTGTTGGGGAGTGTCACATGGGTGCCTGTCCCCCCGGGAAGTGGCCAGGGCCCTGGAGAGCTCAGCAGGAACCAGGTGGCTCAGGTGGCAAGTTGAGCTTGGCTGGGGCTCTGACACATGGGGAAGGACATCTCCAGACTCCACAGAGAGTAGCCACCTGGCCAGGAAGTGGGTCTCACCTGGGAGGGCGACCAGTGGTGGTCACCACGGTTGCCCTGTCTCCAGTGCCATGCATCACAGAGAGCAGTCAAGTCTGGGTGGCTGGAGAAAAGACCCCAGAGCGTGCCACAGGAGAGCCAGGCGAGCCCCAGGGACAGCCAGGAATCCCAGGTGTGAGATGTGGGCACACAGTGGTGGTTCTTTCTGGATGTTCTGCTATGTCAGGTGCAGAACCAAGGACTGCGGAGTGAGGTGGGGGGAGTAGGAAGGAGGATGGGGTGGGGGTGGGATGGGAGAAGAGCTGGGGTGGTCAGATGCATGCAGAAGGAGAGGTGGGAGGAGCGAGGGGGAGGAGGGATGAGGAGTGGGGGTGGAAAGGGATGGGGAGGAGGTGAGGGAGGAGGGTGGGCTGGGAAAGGTGAGGTGGGGAGGCGGGGGGGAGTGCATGGAGGGGAAAAGGGAGATGACTGGGGTGGAGGAGGTAGAAAGGGGGTTGGGACATGGCGTGGGGGAGGGGGCTGGGAGTCTGCCAGCCTGAGTCCTAGGCAGGTGGGGAGCCCTGGGCTCCTTCCTGCTCTGATGTGCTGTGACATCTTGCTTTTTTGTCTCTAGTGCCGAGGAGAAACACCCACCCACTGGGAAAGCCTTTGCAAAACCCTCGGGACAGCACAGATGGAAACAGAATGTGCATTCTGGAGCGGCTCCCCTGCTCAGGGAGGCGGGCTTGCAGGAGGAGTGGAGGCTGAGTCAGCACTAGAGGACTGCAGCCTCCACCGCCTGAGCTGCACCCGGGTCTCCATGGAGCCCAACCCAGACTCCAGCTCCTCAGCGGGGAGCTCCTCACTTGGCAGGGGGCTGGCTGTGCACAGGTCCTAAGCCGGGTCTGTAGTCCTCAGGGTCTGCACCGCAGGCTGGTCCAGGGTCTGAAGCCAGTTTTGTCTGCATGTTGGTCTGCCCTCCCATCTGGGTCCACAGGAGACCCCCTCTGCACACAAGGAGCCCCAAGGGAACGCCCCTCCCTGCCTCTTTCAGCCTGTCAGTCCCCATTGGAGATGAAACCTCATGACTCATGGGATCTATTATATTATCAAAGTCTCCTCTGCAGGGTAAACGCCCCTCGCTGGGTGGAGGTTGAAGCCTCTAGCCACCCGGGTGTTGAGCTCAGTTCTCCAGACGGGAGGCCGAGAAGGGTCCCAGGAAATTAGTGTGGGAAAAGGAGTAGGGGGAAGGGAAGGGCTTTGGGACTCGAGCCTTCTAGCCCCTGGAAGGCTGGGATGCATTTATGTAGCTTGGCAGAGACTTCCCCGAGCCCAGTCAGGCCCTGGATGCTTGGCATTCCATAAAGGCCAGCACATTCCGGAAAGCAGCTGAGCACATGATCAGGGATCTGGTAGAGCTGCCCCCTGACCTCCTGGTCCGACTGAGCCCTGGGGAGCCGGATGCCGGCTTGAGCTGCAGTCATGTTGGGTGGAAACGTGGCTCAGGGCTGCACCTGGTTAGAACATGCTCCTGGCCTGTCCCTAGTGAGCAGGAAGCTGAATTTGTCACAATGCTGCTGGGCCTGGTGAGACGGCCCTGGTGGAGGACCTGCAGCTTCCTGGTACTGCATGGGGCCAAGGGCTTTTGGTGGATGAAGCTGCTCCTTTACCAGGGTTTCCAGCACACACAGAGTACGTCCTGCTTTTTTCTTCAGATGGCCACTGGTCCACATGGCCCTGCCCAGGCCATGGCATTTGGGGCATGCTATGGCCTCTCACATACTCAGCAGGATGGTGTCAACTTGGCTGGGTTACCAGGTGCCCAGATATTTGGTCAAACATTATTCTGGGTGCATCTGTGGGTGTTTCTGGGTGAGATTATCATTTGTGTCTGTAGACTGAGAAAAGCATGCGATCCTCCCCAATGTAGGTGGGCCTTGCCTAATCAGTCGCCAGTATTGCTAAAACAGTGTTGGAGGAAGAGGGAACCTCTTCTGCTTGGCCACCTGGGCCGGGACATCAGTCTTTTCTGCCCTTGGACTTGAACTGAAATATCGTCTCTTCCCAGGTCTTTTCTGACTGGAACCGCACCATCAGCTCTCCTGGGTCTCCAGCATGCACACAGGAGCCAACTCCTCTTTCTTTAGATACACATCCTCTGGGTTCTGCTTTTCTAGAGACCCCTGATTCACACGCTCAGTAATTTCCATCACTGAGATTCATGGCCCTTGGCCCTGCTCCCTGCAGGAACTGGATATGAAAAAACAAAAGGGTTCCCCATGTTCATGCGTATCGACAGGCCCAGTTCCTGGGTGTCCCCAGGAACTTCTGCCTCTCCCCGCAGTGGGCACCCGCTTTCCACGGGAGTCTGCTGCAGGTGCAGGCAGGCGGGGAGCACCCCGGGAGGGCACCTCTCTGTGCATAGGGCTTCCGAAATAGCTCAAACCCCACTCTCTGATAATGCCTTCTGTTAATTCAGAGTTTTGAGGAGAAGCCTAAAATGCTCAGGGGGTTGAAAAATTTGAGATGTGTTCAGATGGAGGTCCAAAGAGTCCTTTCACACTCGTCCTTGGGGGTCTCCAGCGAGCTCAGCAACGTCGCTTCCTGGAGATGGGGGAAAGAAGAGAAAGATTGGGGTGGACTCACACGTTTATTTTCAAGAGGTGCTCACGCACCGTGGGAAAATGAGCTGAAAGTTCTAGATAAACCAATAAAACAACAGAATCTGTCATTTTTACCTGTCAGTTGGGGGTGGGGGGGCAGGCACTGCAGCCTTAACACACTCTTTCAAAAGAGGCTCCCTTCCCCAGGCCAACTCATGCCCACATTAAATTCCTGAAAAACTTTCAAATTTGCAGGTGCATAATGCCCCAAGGCTCCAGGTTCTATGATCTCAGTGTTAAAACCTGACACAGGGCAACGGTACATTTACTGGGTGCTTTGGGGACAGGATGTGAAACTGGGACACTCGGTGGGGTTGGGCCAGGGTCAGACCCAAGTGAGCAGGGCACCCCGCTGTGTGACTGTGGAACTTCAAAGGGAAGGCGGAGGCCCTGCTCTAGGTCAGCCCGGAGAAGATGGACACGCCCTGTGGGTTTCCATGGCTCCTGACGCTGCTGTGGCCGGCTGGGGCAGGGCCACCCCTGCAGAATGGTGTCCTCCTGCCTCCCAGCCGGGGCCTGAGCTCACTCTAGGTGACCGAGGGCGAGGAGGCCTCCTTTCTCTGAACTAGAATAAGAAGGAAATATGACTTGGCTTTGGAGATTCCCCCCCAGGCTCTTCCCCTAAACACCCACAGTGGTCCCATTTTGCGTGGCTCACGGTTCCCGGTGGGAGCCCTGTCCCCCTGAATAGCTTATGAGAAATATGAGCAGAAAAATCCAGTTCCTAGAAAGCCCGGGGCAGTGCTTCGTGTCTGAGCCGATGAGATCATCCATCCCAGGAAGCCCCCGGGGCCCTTACTCAACGTGAGTCCACCTCAGTCCCTGGAAGCCACCTGGGCAGCCCCTTGGAGATATGGAGTGGGGAGCTTCGTGTGGTTGGCTTATCCAAGTCCACTGCCTTCCGTGGTCTGACTCGGAAAGCAGGAAAGGAGACGTTAATGGGGCAGGTGGGTGGGGATGGGCCAGCGGCAAAAGCCACGGCTCCTGGAAACTCGTGGTGAAACCTCGCTCTTGGCCCGGCCCATCTGCTCCACCAGAAGCTCCAGGGTGGGGTCCAGCGGTCGGGGCTCAACGCGCCTCCCAGCTGGTTCGGGTGCACGAAGACTCCTAGGAGCCGAGGACACGGCCGCGGGTTCAGGGTGAGAACTGCCACTTACTGGGGCTCGCTCCACCCAGAATGCTCCCCGCTGGTCTTTGCCCTCCGGCCCCTTCCTGCAAGAACGTCCCTGACTGACTGTCCACTTGCTAGTCTCTGTGCATTCTTTCTCTGAACTCCTGAAGTCTTTCACAGAATTCAGCCCGAGGTGTCCAGTTTTATATTCACTCCACGGTTTCTCTTAGAAGGTGGTCGGTTTCGAGAGATCATGAGAACCCCAAGGGCTGCAGGGTGAGACCGAGGGCTCAGGGCCCATCTTTTGAGGGTGAGTAGTCAACGGACTTTCTTTGTGTCTCTCGTCCGGATATCTTCCCTGTGCAGGGGGGAGTCTCGGTCAAGAGCTGTGGCCGTTAGGATGGGAGGCAGGGTTGGGGAGGCACCTGGCCACGGTCATCTTGTCTTGGAGGTCTCTGACCAGTGCCCTGACCTCGCGTTTCTTTACACAGGCAGGAAAAGCCAAGTGCTGGTGTTTGGGTGCACCTGGTGCTGGATTCATTGGAAACAGAGAAACCCTCCCAGGGATACGTGCCAAAGCTACCCCCGCTTGGTTGGGGCAGAGGCTCCCTCCCTGCAGGTGGAGACGAACGACTCTGAAGGTCATGCTTGCGCCTTGACCTGCCTGTCCTGGGCGTCTGTCCTGAGTTCACAAGGCCTAAGAGGATCGGGTGCGCTCTGGGCTTATCTCTTTGTGAAATGGCTTTGGGTCCCTCCTGCACCTCTGCAGACTGCACTTATCAAAGCCAAGAGCCTCCTTGTTAGGAACACAAAAACAAATTTTAGAAGAATGCCCTGGGCCCTTCCGAGGCAGTGGACACCAATTCGGGGTGCACAGAGAAGCCCCTTCTGGATATTTTTCAATTTAAAAATGCACAAGAAATCGAACTTCACAAGCGTTCACTATGGAGCCTGGTTCACGCTGTGCGTGTTCAGAGGCACGTGTGCGTTGGGGTTGTTTGCAGTTTTGCAAGGGACACGTGCTGGGTGTCCGGACTTGACCTGGCTTTAGCCAACCTGAACTCTCCGAGTGAACAGTTTGTGACAATCTGTGACGATGGCAGAGGAGCCAAGTACTGGAGATTTTATACTCACAGTGCAAACATAAAAAAATGATAGCAATGGTGGCCTCAAGCTCCCGGGGGTGGGGGGGATGGCTCTCAGCCCCAAGAGGCGGAGAAGATGACGATCCCACCATATCTGCAAAAAGCCAGCCTTGACGATTTCGAAATCAGCAAAATCAGAAAAAAAAGACTCTTTGAAATAGAGATTTCTCACCCCCCCCCCCCCCACCTGGGTGCATCAGGGGCCGGGAAGTCACAGCAAACACTTGTATGAAGTCATCAGATTAGCCTGACACTGAAAATATTGATTTTAAGAAAAAAAAAATCTCCAAATGCTTCTTCTTCTTCTTTTTTTTAAAGCCTTACTAGATTTTTTATTGGTTCTTTTTAAATTATACATGGCACTAGAGTCCATTTTAATAAAATTAACGTAATTCTAAACAGAGAAAAACTGAAAGCATTCCCTCTAAAAACTGGAACAAGATAGGGATGACCTGTTTTTACCACTTCTATTCAACAGTCCTTGAAACTATAGCCAGCAATTAGACAGAAAAAGACACTAGAGGGATACAGATAGGAAAAGAAGAGCTCAAACCATCTCTGTTTGCCAACAACATGATCCTATATTTAGGAGACCCCCAAAAATTCCACCAGGAAACTTCTAGAAGTCATAAACGAATTCAGCAAAGTAGCAGGATGCAAAACGAGCACCCACAAATCAATTGCGTTGTTATACACCAATGACGAATTAGGGGAAAGAGAAATTAGGAAAACTGTCCCATTCACAAGAGCCTCCAACCAATAAATAAACAGAAAAACTAAACAAATCAAAGCAACAACAACAGAAACCCTTGGTAACCAGGGGTGAAAGACCTCTACAACGAAAACTACAGAACAGTAAAGAAAAAAATCGAAGGACTTACAAGATGGAAATCTCTCCCAAGTTCTTGGAGAGGCAGAATTCATATTGTCAGAAGGGTCATGTTACCAAGTGTGCTGTACAGATTTCATGCAATTTCTATTGAATTCCAGTGGCGTTCTTCATAGAAATAGAAAAGGCAGTCGTGAAATTTATTTGGAAAAAAGAAGAGGCTCAGAAGAGACGAACCTATCCTTAGCGAGAAAGATGAAGCAGGAGGCAACACAATCTCAGACCTTAAGCTACAGTACAGAGCTACCGTCGCACAAGCAGCACGGCACGGAGACCAAGGAGCATAGCGGAGGGCACAGAGACACGCCCACGTAAACGCTGCGGTCTCCCACTAGGCGAAGGCACCATGGACATACGTCGGAGACAGGAGCGCCTCTTCAACAAATGGTGCTGGGGACAGTGGAGATCCATATGGAGCAGAATGACATGGAACCCCACCTCTCACCCTGCGTGACATTCAACTCAAAGTGGACTTTGTCTTGATCACATCTTGCCACTGAAGAAATGGAGGCGCAGACAGTTTGAGTTATGTGTCCGTGGCCACCTGCGGACAGCAGAGGATAAGAGAGGGGATTTGGGCCCAGAGTTGGGCTCAGGGGGCCACTTTCTCAAATGTCACTCCCCACTTTGCCACTTCCCTGGGGTGCTGGGTACAGAAAGGCAGGTGAAAAGAGGGACCCTCGAGAGGTTTTGTCAAAGGTACAGCTCTCCAGTGGGTTTTTTGTTTTCTTTTTTTAAAAATTTATTTTTTAACTGACACATAAAATACAAACTGTACTTATTAATGGTGCCGTGTGATTTTTTTTATTGAATTGATTTTATTTTTTTAAATACATGACAGCAGAATGCATTACAATTCTTATTACACAGATAGAGCACAGTTTTTCATATCTTTTTCAATAAAGTGTGTTCACGCCAATTCATGTCTTTATACATGTACTGGTTTTTGCATTATAAATCTTATTACACGTATCTACCACAATGTGATGTTTTGATACATGTGTCCATTGTGTGATGTTTCAATCAAGATAAACATATCTATCTCTCCAATTAGGTACCATTTCTTTTTGGTAAAAACTTTCAAAATCCTTTCTTCTAGTTTTTGGAAATGCACATTATCTGATTAAATTTACCCCTCTCTCCCACCCCCTGCAGCCTCTAGTAGCCACCATTTTACTCTCTTGTTCTATGAGAGCAACATTTATAGATTCCACACTTGAGTGAGATCATATGATGATAATTCTTCTGTGTCTGGCTTATTTACTGATCTCCAGTTCTACCCATGTTGTTGTAAAAGACAGGATTTCATTCTTTTGTAGGGCTGAATAGTGTTCCACTGTGTATATGTAGGACTCGGTTTCTGTACTTGGATTTCTCAACTCCTCCAGTGCAAAGTCATAGAAAGCAAGTTAGTGTGTTTGGTGCGGGTCCTGTGTGTTTCCTGTCCTCTCTGCCTTCTGTATTTGAGTCATGCTGCTTCACAGAATCAGGCAATAATACTGCACCCACTGAATGCTACCTCCTGACCCCTTGTCCCACTGTGATGCTGGGCACTGAGAAAAGTCTCTACAGGAGCCTTGTGTGGCCAGTAAGCGTAGGTTCTCTGGAGTTGGCACCCCTCTGTCACCTCTCGTTCCCGGGGTTGCTGAAGGACTGCACAGGGAATCATGGCCAGGGACTCAGCTCCGCTGTGGCATGTGCTAACTGCTGACAGTCAGCTGTCTTGGGCTTCTTCCTGCTCAGGGAGGTCATGGTCCGGTGTCCGCGGAGACCCCAGGCCAGTGTGAGAGCTTGCTGCTCCGTCAGAGAGGCTGCCGGAGCCCAGGGGAGCCCAGCTAGGAGCCCGGGGGGTCGGAAGTGCGTTCACGTCCCGGTGCTGAGACCTCTCCTCACCTTTCACCAGCCCAGGCTGCGGGGGTGGAGTCCTGTCCTCCCCCAAAGGACCTCCTGCGGTTCTGACCTCCGGTTCTCAGAATGTGACCTCATTTGGAAATAAGGTCTTTGTGGACAATCAAGTGAGAATAGGGACGTTAGGGTGGGCTGTCGCCCAGTCTAAAGGTGTCCTCATAGAAGGGGACGTTTGAGCACAAGGGGACGACCGTTTGAGTAAGCAGAGGACAAGCTATCCACAAGGCGGGGCAGAGCTCTCAACTTGCGCAGGACAGGGCTCCCCAGGTGCCCACCACATCTGCCAGATGGGCGCCTGGGGGTGCTGTCCAGTGACCTGCTGGCCATTCACGGCTCCCCCCGCCAAGGGCTGGGGCCAAGAGCACCTCTCCTCAGACACAGGGCGCCGAGGCCGTCCTCTCCCGGGGTCAGACCTGCCCCTCCCTGCCACCGTCTATTTGCCACCCGGTCACAGAGCCTAGATTAAGGGCAGGGGAGATAGAGTGCCCCCTCACTGGGGCCAGGACAGAGTGGGGGGGCGCGTCTACGACTGTCACACACGCCTCTTCGGGAGTCCTCCTATCTTTGTCTCAATTTCAACTGAAATGACAACGAGTTTATGCTCTCTGCCTTGCTCTGCACTTAGGAATCAGGGGAGGGGACAGAGTTCCCACCCCTAAGTCATTAAGTAGCAGGGCCCTGGGCCACTGCTTTTAAGTTTTTCTTATTTGAGAAACATCTCAAAGGAAGGTCAACGGTAACACAGATAATAATAGTGGTTGAGATGTGGGACAAAGGGCGGGCTACTCCCTAGAGTTCTCTGACCCCCCTTGGCTCTTCCAGCAAGGAGGGGTCAGGAAACTCCCAGGCACAAACACTGAGTAATTGCAAACT